AACATTAATAGTGACTATTAATTCCAAATTGTACGAGAGGTTGTGCGATTTTTTGTTTATAGTACATGATTCAGTGAAAGAAAATTTTATAAGGAGTAAAATAAACGCTGTAATTGTACTCCTCTCGACCAATGAAACAGTCTTATTTTGTTGAATGCACTATAAAAAGAAAAATTATTACTTGTCTCGTCCTTGTTTTTTAAGATGGTGAACATACGGTGTATATATTCTCGTTTTTCAAGTGTCAAATCTCCTGTTTCAGTAAAACAATATATATTTGTTTACATTATAGCTCTTGTTTTTACAATTAATCAGAGTTGTTTAGTTCAGATTGATCCGAAAGCCACTTAAAAAGATTGTKTGCTTTGCACTTGACTTCGTCGTATTCTTGGTTTGTCTTTCTGATGTGGTCTTCCAACYGAGTTGTATTRCATTCTTGTAAGAAGCGGCTATACATTGGGCCATTCAAGATTGCTGGACATGAAATTCTTCGCCTTTGTAAACACTGCTCTTGATTTTCATTATTTTCCTGGCAGGGGCGCGCCAAAGACCGCGAATTCTTCGGCGTTGAAGGACATGACGAAATGTTTCTCTGTGCAGAGTTTGTTGACTCCCACTTGTCATCAAAGAAACTAGGTTTTGCAACTGTACCTTGAGCTTTAAGTAATTCCTTGGCATCTAACTCGTGTTTTCTTGAAGAAGAAGGAACATAAAGTATCACTTCTCTTTTTGATTCTTTTTCACGTTGAGGAGTTTTGGTAAAAGAAGCTGTTATCAATGTTTGTTTTCTTTTGAGTATTATTGAACTCTGAGGTCGAACCGCTGTATAATTGCCGTACGAAACAGAGAGCTTTCTAATTTCACTGAAAGAAACGTGGTCTTTAGATACTGACTGACCGGGAAACCTTTTTGACAATGTATGTGTGGTTGGCATCTTAGATTTTTTTGGTCAGAGTGGAGTAGCGATGCACMCGGTTTTGAATTCACCAAAGAATGGCTACCTTTTCTTTGATTACTCAATGYCTTGAAATGGGCCCGTCACGTACAAGTCTATGTTCAAGCCTCTTGGGACTGATAAATCGTGTCTCCGTATCACTTCAATATTATTCTTCGTTGATAAAGGAAATTTTGAAAGTTTTTGTTTTTGTTGAGATCAGAGTATTATAGCGTTGACGACCCATTTCACGGCCGTAGAAACCGCTCWGGTAGCGGTTATTTCTGTAAACCGCTGTACTTGAAAACCGACTCTCTATATAAAGAGATCGCAGAAAGTGAGAAGGCAAGAAAACAGTTTTTAGATAGTAATAAGTATTGTCTACAAACAAATATTATATGGATTATTCTATWTAAAAGGGATCGATTAATTCAATGGCAAAAAGGATTATATTATCCCTATTGAAGTTGTATTGTGATGACAATAATAAGTTATTATTTTTGATTATAGAAGCTTTTCATAATAGAGGGCCTGATTATACGTGTTGGGATCAGTGATCGGGATGATTTCTTTTGTTTTGCGTCCCGAAGGGGAAAGGAAACAAAAGAAACTATAGCTCGTTAGAACGGCCAGCCCGCTTTATATAATCAGACACTAAGTGCCTCAACAGACCTCCCAGGGAGAACCCGTGCAGAGCACGGTAGAGC